TACGTTGTTCATGTTAGAGGAAAAAGGGCTGGTTGTGTGCCGGTCACCAAAATACTGCTTTACTGGTGTCTGGATCCTTGGGATTGTCTGGATCTGGAAACAGTTTTTGAGCAAAAAGGGATTGAAAATAAAACATAAGAGTTTGAGGTGTGACAAATACAAGTTAACTTACCGCTGGTAGAAACCAACAGCTACACCAACAATGATGGTGAAAGTGGCAGTAGAACAGAAAAACTGAATGTTTGCTAAGGACGAAGACAACAGAGCGAGAACACCGGGTTCGACCAGCATCCAACGTTGGGAGTGACTGAGTGTCATAGCGATCGGTCTTTAAGTTGTATTTAAAAAAGCACGATAAAATAATTTTACATGTTGTAAATAAATAAATGCAACTTTTTTGTACATTTTTATTTTTTGTGTTAGTTCATTATCACGATAAAATAATTTTACAAGTAATAAATAAATAAATGCAACTTTTTTGTACATTTTTATTTTTTTGTGTTGGTTCATTATCTCCACAAAAAAAATTTACTGGATTAATAAATGCAACTTTTTTGTACATTTTTATTTTTTGTGTAGTTAATTTTCTTCACAAAAAAAATTTTCTTTGGTTTCATCAATGCAGTTTTTATTTTTATTTGTAAACGGTCTACTTGTAAACGGTATCCTTCGACTGCTGGACTACCGTCGCCAAACTTGTAGCTGACGTGTAGCACAAAACCACGTCATCGGCGTACAGCAGTTCAAGGAGTTCAAGGAGGAGGTTTCTGCAGGTCCCTCGTAACACTGTCCATCACCAAGTAAAACAGTAATGGAGAGAAAGAGAGCAGTTTATAGTATAGTTTTTGAACCACTGCGTTTTTCCTCCAACGAAGTAAACATATTCTGAAACTAGAAAGTCTCCTGGTTCTCCTGATACCTCACATGACCCCTAAAGTTGAGAGAACATAAGAGTTATTAAGTCTTCATTTACCATAGATCACGTTTTAGTGTTTTACTTGAAAACCATTGAGTTTCTCCGAACGGGATGACCACATTCTGAAACTAGAGAATCTACCCGTTCTCCTGATACTACATGATGACCCATAAAGGTTAGTAAGTAAGGTTAGTAACGTTAGTTTTGGTTTTCAACTTTCCACTGCATTCGACCCACCAGCAACAACAGTGTTTTCTCTTTCTCACGCACATGTAAAGTCTTTTTCCCAGCGCAAACTGGACGTTTTAGGCTCTAGTTTTCAAACCACTGAATTTTTCCCAACAAATTAAACATATTCTAAAACTAGAGAATCTACCCGTTTTCCTGATACCACACATGACCCATAAAGTTAAAAGAACATCAAAGTAATCAGTCTTCAAGTGACCCAGGTTACGTCTTTACTACGGGTCACGTTTTAGGCTCTAGTTTTCGAACCATTGAGTTTTTCTCGACAAAGTAAACATATTCTGAAACTAGAGAGTCTACCCGTTCTCCTGATACCACATGATGACCCATGAAGGTTAGTAAGTAAGATTAGTAAGGTTAGTTTTCAACTTTCCACTGCATTCGGCCCAGCAGCAGAAGCATCAATTTAACAGCAACCACAATGTTCAGTGAACACTGTTCACCACTTCACAACACAGCACCAGGCTGCAGAAAAAGGTAGCTGTAGAACTTCGCCAACACTGCTTTTCTTCGCCAGTTATTCAGCCCTACCTGACGTCACTCTCTCTCTCTCTCTCTCTCTAGTACTACACGAGTCGTGTAGTGCTTTCCCCCTCTCCTTCCCCGAACTGTTTGATTACGAAAGAGTTAGTGTTCGCTACTGGGGGAGAAACGTGCAGTCATCGTGATGGCTGTTGGCGCGTTGCTTGTGTAGCACCACTCTTTGCAGAAAAACACACACACACACACACAAACACATCCACTCTGAGAAACAGAAGAAAAACGTTAGGAGCACCTTTTCGGCATGTTCAAGAAAGTGGTTAGAAGAAAGAGAATAAAGAGGGAAATAATGTTAGTGGTGGTGGTGAGCAGATAGATTCTGGTGGAGTTTGTTTTATAATACACAGGCTGATCGGGAGATGAAAAAGGAGGGGGAATATGAATAAAAGTGATGGTGGTGTTAATCTCTCAATTAGGCATCAGCCGGGTAGTGGTGGTTCAGTCGGCGGTGGTGGCAGTCGTGCTGCTCAAAGTAGCCCGGGTTGGTCAGCGGCTCATAGAGGATCGCCTCCATCTGCTCGATAAAGTCCAGGCCGCCGCCGTGCTCATAGCCGGCGTAGAAGGCCGCCGAGTCGGAGAGCGTCGCCAGCAGCTCGGCGCGGTTCTTCTGCTGATGTCGCTGGTGATGGCTGATGACTTCGCAGTTCTCCTCCTCCTTCTCCTTCTTAGTCTCAGTCTCGGCTGCAGCAGTGGACACAGTCAAAGGCGATGGCTTTGGAGGTGGAGGCGGCTGCTGCTGTTGCTGAGGTTGTTGTTGTTGTTGAGGTTGCTGAGGTTGCTGCTGCTGCTGCTGCTGGTGAAAGGTGTTCTCCGAGAAGAGCTGCTGCGGAAGGCCGAAACCCGATGAGACGCCGTTAGCGGCATACGAGGAAGAGGAGTAGGCAGAGTAGCAGCCACTCTTCGAGCCGGTTGAAGAACCGGAAGAGGAGGAAGCTGAGGAGGTGGAGGAGGACTTGTTGTACTCGCGACTCGTCTCGATGATCGGGCTGAGCTTGGCGGTGATGCCGGTCACAAAGTTCGGGTGCGACTGCAGCCGGGTGACGGTCATGTTTGTGGGGCGTTTAAAGGAAGAGGCGCCCGCAGCAGCCGCCGCCGCCGCCCCTCGCTCGGCGCAGGGCGTCGAGGAGGCGCCCGACCGCCGCAGCAGGTCGTCCTCCTTGAAGGTCATCGTGGTGGTGGTCATCGTCGCGAAGGTCACCTCATTGCCATTGCCAATGCCATTATTCTCATCACCCACTTCCATCATCGTCGATTCCTGGAGCTGGTGCTGCTGCTGCTGCTGATTGTTCACTTCATTTTGCCCCTCTCTTTCAATGTCGAGGTTTGGAGCGGTACTATCGGGAGATTCGTAGGCTTCCACTGCTGCAGCATTCGCCGCCATCATCGTCTCCGAGAAGATGGCAAAGGACTTGTGCAGCGCCGCCGGCGGTGAGGCGTTTCTGGTGGCGGTGGTAGTGATTTTTGCCTCACCAGCTTCTGCCATCGTCTGCTGCAGTGTGGCGTTGGTTAGCCCTGCCCCGGCGCTCTCATTAAAAGAGCTGCTGTTGAGCGTGCCGTTGTAGAAGTCGCGCACGATGGAGGTCGCCCCGTGGGTGACCATGGTGGTGGCGCCGTCGGTGCTCGAGTCGCACAGTGACTGCAGCTGCCGGGAGCTGTGCTCCTCCTGAATGATGACCGAGGTCTGCTGCTGCTGTTGCTGCTGTTGTTGCTGCTGAAGTTGAAGTTGCTGCTGTTGAAGCTGCCTCTGCTTCGCCTGCTGCCGCTCCAGCCACCTCGGGTACCACAGTTCCTCAAAGGAGAACTCGGTGGTGGGGGCGCCCGGTGGGTAGATCTGCGCTCGCAGGCTGCTCCACACGTACTTGCTCATCGCCTCCTCGTCCTCGAACTTCGCCACGGCAATGGGCTTCTCAGCAGCTATGGGAGGTTTCTGTTGACTGGTAGAAACTTTGCTCGCCGAGGACAACTGCTCGGCTGGGGCGGGGGCGGTGTTGTTGTCCTCGAGAATCGCAAACGCCGGCGTCACTGCAGAAGAAGACGATAGCGGCGCTCGTTTTCGCATGCCCTTGATGTTCAGCTTGTTCTCGCTCCACTTGCCCGGCTCTCGTTCGTTCTCCTTGTTGTCCTTCACCAGGGGCACCGAAGGTGGTGGTACTGCCACTCCTTCAGCTGCTGCCAAAGATGAAGAGCTGCTCCGGCTGCTGATACTGCTGGTGGCCAGCGGCGTTCGAGGCACCGGCGGAACGGGCGCCTCGATGATCAGATTCTCGTCGCTGAGAATGCGCAGCTGCTCGTTCGATTTTGCGGCGGAAGACAGAGGAGGATTTCCGGGAACTGTGGCCGCGGCCCTCAGACCGCCGCCATTGCTGGCGAGAGCGGCGTGGCCGACCCGCCTGACGGGCGCCTCGGCGACGCCGTGCCGGTCCACCTTGGCCTTCAGCCCGGTGAGCGCCTTGCGGTGGTTGTTCGATGTTTTGCTCGCCGATTCCAGCATTGCCTCCGGGTGGGCGACCATCTGCCGCACCGTGCGCACCTGCAGGTCGGCCAGGGCGGAGGTCAGCTCCGACTGCGGCTCCGCCCGCTCTTGAAGGCCCTTCTTCAGGGCGTCCACCGCCTTGCGGGTCTCACCCGCCATCTCGTACGAGTAGGCGAAGGTGACGTAGAACTGGGCGAACTGCCGGAAGAAGCCCTCCTTGCAGAAGATCTTGAACAGCTGCAGCTGCAGAGGGTGCTCGCTGAAGCTGATGTACTTGAGGAAGATGGAGAGCAGCTTCTCGCTGTCCTTGAAGCTGGGCTTCGGCCGGTCCTGGTCCTTGTACTGGTCGGCCTTCTGCTTGTAGTAGAGAATGCACTCCTTCAGCGTCGGCTTGAGCGTCTTCTCGCCCTCGGGGTAGTTCTGCTCGATCCAGCGGACGTAGTTGACGTAGACGTCCAGCTTCTCGTCGTCGTCGGTGGTGCTCGCCAGTTTGGCTTCGAATTCACTTGAAGAGAAAGAAAGGGATAAAGTGTTAAAATCTCGAAAAGTGATTGAAACCAAAACCAATCAAAACTTACGCCTTTGTCTCGTCACGTCGCCTCGTCTCATTCAGGTCCATGCTGAGCGCCGCCCGCAGACTCTCGATCTTGCGGCCGCACTTCAGCGGCTGGACGTTCTCCTTGGTCAGCTCTATCTGCTCCATGCTGGGGGTGGTGGGGTGAACCACAAAGATCAAAGGTGACACCAAGAGGTTTTAGAAATTGACGATGAAAGAACTTGAAACAAAGTTGTGACCGTTTCACTTCGAGGCAGTCAACAGAACAGAAAACACAACAAACACAGCAGCGCCAACGGCGAAACGGCATTCAAACGGTCGCTGCTTTCGTGATTGGCTGCCGCAGCGTAGCGACATCTACGGACGGCGCCAGCGGCGGCAGCGGCGGCGTCTGCAAAACGTATTTCGAAATCATCAGGTATTTTTTTAGTGTTCTGTTTTGAATCAGAGTTTCTGGATCTTCATCGCCGCCGCCTCCAAAAGATGAACACTGTCAACGAGCTGAAGAAGCTCCTCAAGTTGGACGTCGAGAAGATTCGCGCCAACTTGCTGGAAGCGTCCACACTGGAGTCGCTCAACAGGCAGTCGGAGGCGCTGAATCAGCTGGTGCTGTCAGGTGGTGGCGGTGGTGACACTGATCAAGAAGACACTGATTGCGAAATTGTCTTTGAAGGAGGAGGAGGAAGTGCCAAGGAAGCGGGAAGCAGTGCAAGCCATCATCATCATCACCAGAAGCAGAAGCAGGATGGGCTGGAAATCAGTCCAGGTGTGGACGGCACTCGCGTGAAGACGTTTGAAGATCTGGTCAAGCTTAAGCTGCAGCAAGGAGAACAGCAACAACAGCAGCAACAACAGATTCAACAACTGCGACAACGTAATCCCTTCAAGGTTCAGTCAGCCGAAAAGCGACCCTTTCTTCGAAGAGGCGAAGGCTTGAGGCGATTCAGTAAGGGAGGAGGGGAGATCACCAGTCCAAAGAACGGTAAAAAGACAGAGGCATCACCAAAGACGACAAAGTCTTCTTCCTTGGAGCGTCCTCCTCTTCGGGACAACACCTCTGCCTTCATCATCGAAAAGGCGCCTACACCAAAAACCAATGTCAAGCCCAAGAACCAATGTGAGGTGATCACTGAGTGCCTCGCCGGAAAGGCGCAGCTTCAGCTGAGGCGAGAAGACCTGGCCACTGAGAAGTGCACCAAAAAGCGAGCTGACTTTGCTCGAAAGGTGCTGCCAATCTCGAGGACTACTCAGCAGATGACCGAAAACGTCCCCGGTGCAACAGGTATGTTTGTCATGTTTGTGGCTTTGATTTTGTTACCAAATGTTTCTACTTTACAGAAACTGCTCCTCCAAGTCTCAGCACAGTGGAGGTCGTCCGGCAGATTGCCCACCTCGAGAAGCGCCTGCTCGACCTGATGACCCTGAAGGGGCAGCTGACCGAGGAGCGAATCTTCGAACTGCGAGACACAGGCGAAAGCGACGCCACAACGGACAAAAAGAACGCAACTGAACATTTGGCCTCCTCCATTGAGCTGATTAGAGGGGAGATCGCCGCGCTGAACACTAAAGTGTCCTCACTGGCGACCACTGGTAAAAGCGGCGGCGGCGGTGGTGAAGTAGAAGAAGAAGAAGAGGAAGATAAAAACTCACGCCACTTGGAAGATGCTGCTGAAGAGGTTTCGAGAACGGCAGCCACCAGCACCACCGCCACCAGTGCTTCAGAATCAGCTCCGGAGAGCAGCATTTCAACGACATCTTTATCGAATGGCGATAAGATTGCCTTTGCCAGTGATCAATCAATTGTAAGTGCAACACCAACCAAAATCAGCTCTCAACTTTCAGTTGTCCCCCGTTTTATGGTTCACTTCTGGTTGAGTTTGTTTTGCAATAGCTGCAATGCTCATTCTTGCTATCTTCTTTTCCTCTTCTCTCTTTCGTTTGACAACACACTCATGAACACATTTAGACCTACGTACACGGCAACGGCACCTCACAGACGCTATATCGGGACGGGTTGAGGGTGATTCGATTTCCCAAGTAAGTAACCTGATGCCAGAAGTGAGAAGTGTAGGGATCGATAATGTCAAGCACTAGTGTACCTAAACCTAATCACTTACTCTCTTTTTTATCCTCAAACACACAGTGGTCAAGTTGAGCGGCTCCACCCTGACGGCAGCAAGGAGATCACCTACGCCGACGGCCAGCCAGTTCACAGGAGGCTGGTGATCAAGAGAAAAACTGGTGGTGGTCAAGAGGACAACAGTGAGGAAATTATCCACCTCGCCGATGGGACCGTCCACTCGACGACCACTGACGGCTGCGAGCGAATAATCTACCCAAATGGCGACGTCGAGTGGCGAACAGAGGACTACACGGTGGGTACAAGGGTTATGGTGATCGTCGTGGTGCTTGTCATGGTCGAGCTGCTGATAAACACAGTTTTGTGCATGTTTACTAATCATCTCTATCACTTCTCTCTTCTTTCCCCCTCCTATCAGAGGCGGCACTTCAGCAGCGGCCACATCAAGACGCAGTACGGCAACGGCTGCAGCGAGACTATATTTAGCAATGGTCGCGTTCGGCTGAAGGATCGCCAGGGCAATGTACTATTTGATCGGCGGCCGTAGAAGACGGACTGCGGCGACGACGACGACGAAATAGCGCCTGAAGACACACAGTATTTCACTCTAACAGGCAGTGATCAACAAAAAGGCAAACTTCGAAACTAGCCAAAAAAACTTGTCGCTAAAAACGTAAACAACAACACACACAGCAACACTTTGATGATGCCTCAGCGGAAGTACTCGGCGGATTCGGCTGCTGAACTGACCGCCACCTCTTGCCACTCCAGCACTTCTTCCGAGTACATTCCCCTCAGTCGGAAGATTGCTCAGCACGTGGCCACCAGTGACACTCCGTTCTTCTCGGTGGAGTTTTTCCCGCCCAAAAGTAAGGCCGCTGCCGTCAACCTGATTGCCCGTTTTGACGCCTTTCGCGCGCTGGGCCCGCTTTTCGCGGACATTACCTGGCATGCAGCGGGCAATCCCGAGGGCGAATGCGAGACGAGCTCCATCACCATCGCCGGCTGTGCGCTGAACTACTGCGGCCTGAACACCATGCTGCACATTACCTGCATTGGCATGAGCCGGGAGCGGCTGGCCGGCTGCCTGGAGCGGGCGAAGGCCATCGGCATACGGAACATACTGGCGCTGAGGGGCGACAAGAACCAAAGCGAGAAGGCGACGGACTTTACCTACGCCGCGGACCTGGTGCGGTACATTCGAAAGGAGTACGGCGACTACTTTACGATCGCCGTGGCCGGTTACCCGACGACTCACCCTGAATCGGCGAGCCGAGCCTCGGACCTAGCTTTTCTGAAGGAGAAGGTGGACGCCGGCGCCGATTTTATCATCACGCAGCTCTTCTTTGAGGTGGAGGTTTTCGCCCGCTTTGTGGCCGATTGTCGCGCCCTGGGCATCACCGTGCCCATCCTCCCCGGGGTGATGCCCATTCAGAACTACGACTCGCTGGAGAAGATTGCCCGCGTCAGCGGGCTGGTCATTCCGGAGCGCATCCTCGCGGACATTGCCCCGCTGAAGAACAATGACGAGGCGGTGCGGGCGTACGGCGTGGAGTGGACCGTGGAGCTGTGCAGGCAGCTGCTGGCCGTTCCTGGGTTGACGCCGGGAATTCACTTTTACACTCTGAATCGAGAGCAGGCGACGGTGAGCATTGTGAAGGCGCTGGGGCTGGGCGCCGTTGGATGTTCCTCGAGGAGGAAGGTGCAGAAGCCGCTGCCGTGGCTGCCGCCGGCGAACCATCGGCGCTGTAAGGAGACGGTTCGCCCCATCTTTTGGTCGTCGAGGCCGAAGAGGTAAGTGAAAAAATATTCAACTTAATCGAAATTTATTTTACTAATTTTTCTTTTCCAGCTACGTCTGCCGCACCAAAACCTGGGACGAGTTCCCCAACGGCCGCTGGGGCCACGTCGACTCGCCCGCCTTCGGCAACCTCAACGACTACTACCTCTTCCTGGAGCCGAAGAAGGGCCGGGAGGCGCTGCTGGCGATGTGGGGCTACGAGCTGACGGCGGAGGCGGACGTCTGGGAGGTCTTTCACTGCTACATTAGCGGGACGGCCAACCGCTACGGCCACCCGGTGCCGGCCATTCCCTGGAACGAGGAGGCCGATTTGAGGTCGGAGACGTCGGTCATTCTCGATCGGCTCTCGGCTTGCAACCAGGCGGGCATCCTCACCATCAACTCGCAGCCCAATGTCAACGGTGCCCCCTCAACGGATCCGGTCTTTGGCTGGGGCTCAGAGGGTGGCTATGTTTATCAGAAGGTAAGTTGGGGATTGAGGTGTTTTTTAATTTGGAGATCTAATCCTTGGTACTTTCTAGGCCTACGTCGAGTTCTTCCTCAGCCGAGCCCTCACCGACCAGCTGCTGGCCGTTCTGGAGCAGTACCCCAATGTCAATTACCAGGTAGTGAATCGCAGCGGCGACCACTTTGTGACCAACTGCTCGGAGAGCGAGCCCATAGCCGTCACCTGGGGCGTCTTTCCCGGGAAGGAGATCATCCAGCCGACCATTGTCGACATTGTTAGCTTTCAAGTGTGGAAGGTGAGTGAAGAAGGTGTTAAGTGTTGAGTTTTTAATTCTAAATATCTCTTTTTACCTTAGGACGAGGCCTTCAGCCTGTGGATGGACAAGTGGGCGGCGATNCATAGCCGTCACCTGGGGCGTCTTTCCCGGGAAGGAGATCATCCAGCCGACCATTGTCGACATTGTTAGCTTTCAAGTGTGGAAGGTGAGTGAAGAAGGTGTTAAGTGTTGAGTTTTTAATTCTAAATATCTCTTTTTACCTTAGGACGAGGCCTTCAGCCTGTGGATGGACAAGTGGGCGGCGATCTACCCGGAGGAGAGCGCCTCGCGGGCCATTCTAAAGGACATTACCGAGAACTACTGTCTGGTGAATCTGGTTGATAATGACTACCCACGGGAGACGGTTCTGTGGGAGGTGCTCGAGGAGACTCTGAGACGGCAGAAGGAGCAGGAACTGCAGAAGGAGAAACAGCAGCAACTCCAGCAATGACACTTGTTACATTCTCAACAAACAGTGTGATCTAGAGAGAGATCAGTAAAGGCTAATGGTCAACTCGGAGTCTTTGGTTCTATTTTGTTTCAACTGGCGCTCAAAAACAGGTCATCATCGCTACTACTATTTTCTACTTTGTTGTTTTGCCCAAGTGTTCAATTGATCACTTTGAGCTAATTTCCATCATGTGAGATGGAGCAAAATCGAAAAACTGCTATCGCAAGGGCTGAAGATAGACACTGCTCGTCAGATGAGATGCTTGTGTAATAAGTAGTTGAGAGAGTCCTTATCAGCTTGTGCACGAGTGTGTGGGCGCCTCTCTTTTTGTTCGGTGCCTCCATTTGATCCTGGTGCGAAATTTACTTCGACTGCTGCTGATAATGATAACTGGCGCCCACTTACAGACCAGGCCGCTCTGTACAGCAGTGAGCCTCAGTAACGTCACCCACTGATAAGGGGGAGCAGAATTTCGACTTTGAAATCAGTGCCAGTGTTGTCAGTTGTGGTGAACTGAACAGTTAAGACTGAGTACATGGTACACCAGTTTTTTGGGTGGTGTTGCAGCTGCAGTTAACCTCGATTTTCCAATCTTCTCTTCTTGTTTTTACCACTGCTACTCTAGATTTGAGCCATTGATGAAAACGAGTGAAAAAGCTCACTTCGGTGTCAAACTGTTAGTTACTCTGATTGAATCGATGTCAGTTCAGTTGATTAAACCAGCTGGTCAAGAGTAAATGTTTGCAAACTCCACTGCACCTCTTCTCAAAAATCATTTCAGCTAATTGTGAAGTAATCACCGTCATCCTCATCATCATCAACTGCCACTGATTGACACCGCCTGCCACTTCTTTTTTTTTCATTCAACCTCACCAAAACATTTTCGCTGACTATCTTATCAAACTTTACTTTATCCAGCGCTTTGTTTATGCTACTCTACAGCCCACCACCACCACCACTACTACGACGGTGAATGAAGACGTGAGGTGAATGAAGACGGTGCGTTCTTCTGAAGATCTTCAAATATCTTCTCAGACAGCATCACTTAGGATTTTCATCAATTAAAAGAGAAATACTAGTCACTGAAAAAGCCAAAAACCAACTAATCATCACCTCACAATTCAGATCGCCGGATTCCAATCATCAAACACAAATAGCTCTCTCACAAAATGCACTGAAGCCAAACAACATTTTTGTGTGCTAGTTCACTTTCACCGCATCACTATCTTTTTTCCCATCTTCTCTTTCATCACTCTCGTGACCTTATTACCTCATCATCATCACCACTTTCACCTTATCACCACAATCACCTCATCACCACCACCATGACCAGAATGAAGTTTTCGGACATGTGGTCGCTGAAGCGGTACATCATCGCCTGGCTGACGCCGGTCATCTGGTCACCGCTGCTCTTCTCCGGCCACCACCATGACCTCCACAATGTAAGTGATCCTTTTAGAAGAGGAGTTTATTTTCTATAACCTTCTTCCTGCAGAACTTCGAGCAGCAGTACCGCTGCGCCTACATCGTCCTGGTGATGGTCACCTACTGGTTCACGGAGACGATACCGATCTCGGTGACGGCGCTCATTCCCGTGGTCCTCTTCCCGGTGATGGGCATCGTCTCCTCGGAGGCCATCTGCAAGACCTACTTCAACGGGACGATCATGGTCTTCCTGGGCAGCCTGATAGCGGCCACCGCCGTGGAGAAGTCCAATCTGCATGAGCGGGTGGCGCTGAAGGTGATCCTCCTCTCGGGGACGTCGCCTAAAAGGTATGGAAACTTTTTGAAGCAGTGTTTTTAGGAGAGTTTTAATTTTTTCTTTTTACAGACTACTGCTCGGCTTCATGTTCACCACTGCCTTTCTCTCGATGTGGATCAGGTGAGTAAATGGTAAAAAATGTCCTCTTTTCACTCATCAAAAATACTTTTGTGCTTACAGCAATCTCGCCTCGGTGGCGCTGATGATTCCCATCGTTAATGCGGCGCTCGACCAGCTGACCAGACGAAAATCGGTCTCCTACGGAACCTGTCACCAGGAGATGTCCGGCGGGGTGATTGGAGTAGGTGGAACTGGTTCTAGAGCTGGAGAAGCTGCAGATGCTGATCACGGTGAGACAACATTGAAAACCGCTTCTTTCAACTAAATTCAATTTTTCCCCCTTTAGCGTACATCACCGTGGATGAGAAAATGCGGCGGAAGAACTCGCTGCGCACGGTGACGCAGATTACGAGGTAATTTGAGCATTGAAATGTTTTAAAAACCTTTTCTTTTCACATCTTTTTTTCTATACAGTGTCGGCCTAACGAAGAAGGCCTCTCGCAAGCTGAAGAAGGGCATCCTCCTTGGGATCTGCTACGCGGCGAACATCGGCGGCACTGGTACGCTAACGGGCAGCAGCACCAATCTGGTGCTCAATGCCATCTACAAAGAGTAGGCGCTACTTACTACCTCAAAACCTTTTTAGAACTTCTTTTTGACCTTTCCGTTTTCAACATTTTCTAACACACATTTTATCTTTTTCCCTTTCAGACACCCGATCTCCTTTTCCCATTGGTTCTTCTTCAACGTACCGGGGCTGCTGATCAGTCTCGCCCTCACCTGGTCTTTTCTCACCATCTTCTTTGTCAACAATAAGAAAAGGTGAGCATGAATTCTCAATTATCATCATCATTTTCATTCACAATTGTACAACAGTCGAGCAAACACCAAACAGAGCGAGGAGCAAGTCTACGAGACGATCAAGATTCAGTACGAACAGCTGGGCAGCTTTCGGTAGGTGGTGGTGGTGATGATAACTTGGGGTAACTTTTCTAGAAACCTTGATTAAAATCTTCCTCTGTTCTTTAGCTTTCAAGAGGTGGCCGTCCTGGTGCTCTTTCTGCTGATGCTCTTTCTCTGGTTTTTCCGCTCGCCCGATTTCATGCGCGGCTGGACGACGCTCTTTACGTGGAATTCAAAGTAAGTCTGATTGCCTCCTGATCAGTTATTACTTATCAATAGTGTCTGATAAATAATAACTGACTGCGTAACTGCAGCTGTAAAGGACTTCCGGCTGCAATTATATCAACCAAACGTTTTGCTGATAACTGCTGTTTTTCTCCTTCTTCAACCAGCGACATCAACGACTCAGTGCCGGCCATCCTCGTCGTCGTCCTCTTCTTCCTCATCCCCGCCGAGCCCTCGAATCTGAAGACCTCTCCAATGCTCCTCGACTGGAAGAGCACCCAGGAGCGGGTCAGCTGGGGGGTGATCCTTCTCCTTGGGGGCGGTTTTGCCATGGCCAAGGGCTGCGAAAGGTCGGGCCTGTCGGTGGCCATCGGCAATCGCCTGGCCACGCTGAGCAGCCTTCCGCAGCCGCTGATAACGGTGATCATGTGCGCCATTACGCTGGTCATGACGGAGCTGACCTCGAATACGGCCACTTGTACTATTCTTTTACCGGTTATTAAGACAATGGTAAGCGGTGGTGGTGGTGGAGTTGATAAGGTCTTGATAAGGGGTTTGATGACTTCTTTTTTGTTCTTCAGACGACAGCTATGGGCGTCAACCCTCTTTCCATTATGCTGCCCGTCACCGTCAGCTGCTCCTACGCCTTCATGTTGCCCGTCTCTTCGGGCACCAATGCCATTATCTTTGAGGTGGGGCGGATGAAGAATAAGGACATGGTAAGCGGTGGTGGTAGTGGTGATGTTTTGGACTTTACTGATGTCTTTTTCTTCCTTCTAGCTTCTGCCCGGTTTCTTCGTGAAGATAATCTGCCTGGCGGTGCTCCTCGTGATGACCAACACCTGGGGCGAGATTATCTTTGACATTACAACGGCGCCGGTTAAAGCGGCCACCACCGCCAGCATTATCAGGTCAACGCTGAATGTGACCACTGCCATGAGTCTCTAGTTTGGTCAATTTTTGTACAGAAAACAATCGTTATCAATGTTCATCACTTTTACTTCATCAAACTTTATCTTCATTTTTTGTTATTAAAAAACTTGACAAATCTTTTGCCGCCAAAGTGCGATCGGCAGCTGAGGTGCTTTTAGCTGCTGAAACAAAAATTCAAATGACCTGGTTAAAATAGTCGATTCTTCAGCAGCTGCTGCTGATGCTGAGAATTTTTTTTTTGCTTTTTATTGTTTTGTTTTTGCTCTCAATTCTGTGCGCTTCGCCTCACTGCTTCCTGGTTCTGATTCTGGTGCCGACGGCTGATGCGGCGCGGCGACGGCCACAGTATGACTTAACCGGGGTGCAACTTCTTCTTCTTCTTCTTCTTCTTCTTCTTCTTCAGAGCTCTCAGAATCTCACCTCAACGATGAATCTCCTCGCCCCTAGAATCTAGAATCCGCCTGGTGACCGGTGTGTCACCTTCACTTCAGTGCCTGCTCTGGCGCTGTTCTATTTCTCGCTTCTATCCTCATCACCACCACCTACCGAACATGAATTACGAAATTCTAATCAGCGTCAGCCTGGGCGACAACCTCCCGCTGCAGGAGGAGTTCCTCTCGCGTGCCTGCAAGACGACCGCCATCCTCGAGGCAAAGTTCAACGAGGAGGTGCTGCAGAGCGACCCGATTCTAATTGACTCGGTCAATCCGGAGCTGGCCACAGAGCTCGGTTTCCGCCTGAACAAGAAGGACTTTCAGCAGTTCCGCATCGAGCGCAAGTCCATCAAGTTGCAGTGCTTCGTGGAGTACTCGACGAGGCCGGCGGCGGAGGAGCGGCACTTTATCGGCTATGTGGTGCTGCAGATTCGCGACATCCAGGAGTATAGCCCGGGTTCGGCGGAGCCGAAGTACCGGTGGCACGTGCTGCTCAACCCAAAGTACAAGGGCAGCTCGACGAAGCGGCCCCAGCTGTACCTCGCCTTCATGGTCAACAAGCTGAACGAGGCAGCCTCGGATGATCTGATGTCCAGCTCGATGACCTCGCAAACATCTCTTGGAGGTGGAAATTGTGGAGGTCTATCGTTAAGTGAAAGCCACCACGAGTACCTCGAGAGTGCCTTCATTCGGCCGCTGCTGCGCAAAGAGCCGGCGCCGGTGATGTCCAGCTCGGTGCACTGCTTTCCCACCTCTTCCTCTTTTTCGAACTCAGCAACTCACGAATTCGACTCCAATCTAAAGGTGAAGCTAAAAAGTCGAACCTTCTACGTTTGGGACGAGAACCGCTGCCGGGAGGCGGACTGCACGCAGATGTACCTCATTCAGATTCAGATTGACCGGCCGCGGAATCTGGCTAACTTGCTCGGTGAAAAGAAAGGCAAAGGAAAAGAGGAAGAGGATAAGAGCACCGAGTACCACTTCAAGTACACCATGCTGGGCAAGCAGATTCGCAGCGCCAGCTTCTTCGACCTGGCGACGGCCGCCGACTTCCGCCGTCACCGTTTTCTCTTTCCCATTCTCACCTTTGACGGGCCAATGCTGCAGGAGTACTTTGAGGCCTATCCGACGGTGGAGATTCGCCTGTGCAGTGTTCGAAATTCAGTGGTCATTGGCTTTGTGACCACTAACCTGCTGCGCCTCTTTGAGAACAGCTCGGCGGCGATTGAGGGCGACTACATGGTAAGGAGGAGATGGGTTTAAGGTTTGTTTTGATTGTAACTTTTCAACTTTTGAATAGATTGTTCCTGAAGACGAGTCCGTCTACGTAAAGGAGCCCTTTCCCGTGGTGCAGCTGAAGTTGGCCATCTCGCGAATGGACCACCACCACCAACAACCTACTCAAATGCCTGTAAACACGCCTCGAACTCCAGTGCTCAGTAGGCGAAAAGAATGGGAAGAAGAAGGTGATCAACTGCAAAGGTCGACACCTACGCCTACGCCCACCGAAATGCCATTTCCGCCACCAAAGACAACTAAAGACAGCCACCATCAACAACAAAAACCACCGATTGCACCTTTAGCACAGCAGCAGCAGCACCAAAGCCCAAAACCTTCATTATCTCCGCCTTTACCAGCAACAGCAGCAGCAGCGGCCACTCAACAGCCTGTGAATCACTACTACATTTCCATTGACCTGCGAACCATTCGACTGACGACTGCTGCTGAGCAAAACTCCACGTCTATTTCCCCTTCTTCCCCAACAAACAGCAGCAGCACCTGCCAGCAGACGGTCCTCTTTCAGCCCTTCTACCTGCAATTTTCCTACGCCTTCTTCGGCATCAGCGACTACATCAAGACCTACCCGGCGATTCGCTTCGCCGCCGCCCAGCCGCTGGAGGCCATTACCGTGCCGCACGGCTTCTGCGGCTTCAACTTTGCCACCACGCGGGAGAAGCTGGTGTACACCTTCTCCACGGTTCCGTTTATCGTCACGTTGCACCTCGAGGCGGATGATACGCTGCTGGGCAGGGCAGAGCTCGACCTGAGCTGTCTGCTGAAGAAGAGGCAGAAGAAGACAGAAGATCGAGGAGATCAGGGAACAACTGGCTACCGAAACCAACTGGGCGACGACCAGTTCGTCAACACGACCGTCCCCGTGGAGGACGAGCTGAACGACCAGATCTGCGAGATGCAGGTGGTGATGTTCCTCCAGGAGATGACCAACCTCAGCTACTGTGCTGATGAGCCTAATCGGGTGGAGGTGGCCAGTCGGCGACGGTCCATTGTCCCCTCGATGCCCGATGAAAATGAGGAAAATGTCTCTGAGCAGCTCAACCTCGTCAACCAGAGCCTCAACGACATGATCATCGAGACGGCGCACGACATTGAGCTGTGGAAGGAGGAGCAGATGAGGATCTTCAAGAGCCGCCTCAAGTTGAAAGAGCAGCAGCTGCTGCTGGAAAATAGCAGCAAACAGAAGGCGGAGCTGGAGGCTCGCCTGCAGAATGTCGCCGAGCGGGAACGCCTGCTCGCGGAGAGAGAGGCTGAGGTGGTCAGCAGGCAGCAGGAACTTGATGGCCGTCTGCGCCGCCTGACCGCCGAAATTGAGTCGGCGACGGCGGAGGTTCGGCTCGCCTATGAAGAAAAAGCTTCCGTCCAGAGGACGCAGCTGAAGGCCGCCGAGGCGGAGAAGGGCCGCCTCCAGGAACGGCTCTATCTGCTGGAGCGGCGGCTCAAGGAGCGGGAGCTGAAGATTCGGGAGCTGGAGGCTTCAGGTAAAGGTCAAGCTCCGCCGCCAAGACGGGCTCTCAGCGCTCAGCGGACTTCTTCGCTGACTCGAAGTGCCATCAGCAGCACTGGCGGTGGTGGAACTGGCGGCACTGGAAACACTGGCAACACCGGAACTCGTCGCATCGTGATCACCAGGGACACTAGCACGCCGTAAGTGTGCCGATCATCATTTTGTGATAAGGACATTATTTAACCTCTTTTCACTTTTTAGGCCACTCTCCAAGAGCATGATTGAGCCCAGCAGTGGTGGCACTGGAAAGCCTGTTTTCGAAACGGGCACTCGAATCGGCTCGCCGGCGAGCCACCACCGCAGCACCAGTGCCAAGCCGCCGCCGCCGCTGAAGACGACGGTCAAAGCAGCTAACCATCGGCCCATCTCTACGGGACAGACCATGATTCCCGACCCTCCTCCTCCGTTGTTGAAGAGTACCACCGAAGCACAGCCACCACCACAGCCGCTGATCATCGAGAAGATCAAGAAGGAGCGGCAGGAGCTGCTGAAGCGCGGCGTCTCCCTCAAGGACCCGCTCATCGTGGAGATTGACAAACGGATCAGAAACTACCGACCGGTCAATGTGAAGCGAATCTAGGAAAAGCTTTTGTTTTTGCAAATTCGGCCACTGCTTTATATAACAATCTTCAAATTAAGTAAACGCTCTAGTCATAGGAGATAAATTCTTTCTGTAAACACAACTTTTAAGAAATTAAAAAATTTTCAAAATATGAACAGCTGTTTCAGTGTCTTTTGTAGAGGGCGCCACAGTAGACCACGCTGCCGCGCTGCTGCTGCTACGTTTCACGTGCGTTTTGCTTTGGCTCGGCTTTGTTTTGCTTCGTCTTTGAGGATTCTTGTTTACCAGAATCTAATTAATTACCGAGTAACCATGAGGCCGCGACCCAAGACGACGATGCAAGTCCTCGGACGGTCGCTGATCAAGTCAAAGAAGCGACGGCCGACGGCGGATCAGCTGAGTGAGGTATGTGTCTTGGGTTGTTGTTGTTGTTTCCATTTTCTAACCATTTTCTAAATGATCTTCACTCCTCATTAGCGTCACACCGTCCACGATGACCCCTCCAATGCGAAGAGCATCACCGAGAACACCTCCCTCGATGACTTTCTCTCCACGGCGGAGATGTCTAACAAGCAGTTTGTTGCTGGTGAGATGATCTCAAGAGATTCTTTCAACAAAAACACCTAAACTAACCTCTTTTCTCTTTTTTAGAACGCCAAAACATCAAGATCATCGAGTCGGCGGCTGTCTCCCAGCCCTCCACCTTGGCGGTGGTAGATGAAAGCCTCGAGCAGGAGCTGCTCATCCCTCGACGACCCTCTTGGGATCGAAACACCACGCCGGAGGAGCTGCACCAGGCGGAAAACGAAAGCTACCTAAAGTGGCGTCGGCGACTGGCGCAGCTTCAGGAACGCGATGACCTCGTCCTGACGCCCTTCGAGAAGAACCTCGACTTCTGGCGGCAGCTGTGGCGCGTCGTCGAGCGCAGCGACGTCCTCGTGCAGATCCTCGACGCCCGTAATCCGCTCCTGTTCTTCTGCGAGGACCTCGACGTGTACATCAAGGAGGTGGGCGGCGAGCGGAAGCTGCCCGTCATCCTCCTCAACAAGTCGGACTACCTGACGGAGCGCCAACGGCGCCACTGGTTCGACTACTTTACCTCCATTGGCAAGGTGGTCGTCTTCTTCTCCGCCCTCGAGCAGCAGCCCACGACGGTCGCTGAAGAAGAAGTGGAAGAGAAAGAGGCTGAAAGTTCTGAAGAAGAAGAAGAGGATGAAGAAGTTGTGGAAACAAAGCTCGAATCGCTTAACCTTCAAAAAGAAACAGAAGGTGAAGATTCTGAAGCTCGAAAGCGCCTCTACACGCCCCTCAGCTACAGCGAGCTGATTGCCTACTTCAAGTCGCTTCGCAGCCGCCTTCCAGAGGACGTCGCCCTTGAGGGGCCGCTTACCGTCGGCCTGATCGGCTACCCCAACGTCGGCAAGTCCTCCACCATCAACGCCCTCCTCCGCTCGAAGGCCGTCTCCGTCTCGGCGATGCCCGGCAAGACGAAGCACTTTCAGACGATCCTCCTCGACGACCAGCTGACCATCTGCGACTGCCCCGGTCTGGTCTTCCCCAATGTGGTGAGCAGCAAGTCGGAGATGATCATCAACGGCATCCTCCCCATCGACCAGATGAAGGAGGCGGTGCCGCCCATTGCCGCCATAGCCGCTCGCATTCCCGGCCACGTCTTTGAGACGCGGTACGGGCTGATGCTGCCGAGGCGGTCTGAAGACGACTTCAAAACCAAAGGGGAGGAGGAGGACGAGGAAAATCGAAAAGCGACCGCCCTGGAGCTGCTCAGCGCCTACGGCTACGCCAAGGGCTTCATGACGGCCCGCGGCCTGCCCGACACCTCCCGCGCCGCCCGCTACCTCCTCAAGGACTTTGTCTGTGGACGGCTCCTCTTCTGCTACGCGCCGCCCACTGTTCCCCAGCAGGAGTTTCACCGCTACCCTCGAAGCTCCAAGGCGCTGGCGAAGGAGGCCTCCGCCACGGCGAACGCCATCACCGACCGTCGCCTCCTTAAAGCATACGAGGGCCAGGCCCTCCTTAAAAAGCGTAACTTCAACGAGGAGTACTTTGCCGGGCTGGGTAGTGCCGCCCATACCAAGGGCAGCCGAGGCATTGCCGTCCACTCGCGGGAGTTTATTCAGCAGGGCGGGGAGGCTTTTGGAGCTGCTGCGGCTGCGGCGGAAGGAAAGCCCTGGAAGCGCCATCATAACCGCAAGAAGAAGGAGAAGCTGCGCAAGGTGTACGCCCACTTGGATGAGTGAGAAAAAGAAGGGTGGAAGATTTACTCTCTGTTTATTTTTGCCTGTATAACTCATGCTTTATTTGTTAATATAATATTATAAATGGACTCTCTCTGTTTGCACAAGGGGGTAAATGAAGAGAAGGAAAGATGGGGGAGGGGGAGGTGAATTAAAAGAATAAGGAACGCAGTTTTTAACAACAATAACAACAAGAAAAAGAAATGGTAGCATTTGAGTTCAGTGAGAAGGAGGAAAAAGTTGCAGTGAAGAATAAGGAGAGGAGAAGTGTGAGTTGTGTTCTGATGTGAGTGGAGGAGGTGATGGTGAAAAAGTGAGGATTTGCAGTGAACAGAAATATGCCGTAATTGCCGTAATTAGTGTGAGTGCTCAGTTGATCAGCTCGATCCAGTGATTCGATTCTACTGAAAGGCTATCGTGTGCAACAGCGGCCGATTGATGTCCGTCTCGAACTCCTGCAGCAGCTCGTCAATCTCATTGTCCAGGTCCTCTGCCGCCGCCAGCGAGGTGGCCATCTTCACGATGAGGAACGCCCCCAACGTCGCCTCCTCGGCGTTGTCCTGCACGTCGATGTTGATGATGTGCACGGTGCTGTTGTCCAGCGGCGTCCGCCCGCAGAGGTCCTCCACCACCTGGTCGTAGACGCGCTCCTCGCAGGTGAAGATCACGTCGAACTTCTCCGGGCAGTCCTGGAAGCGCTCCGGACTGCTCTTGATGCGCCGGTTGCGGTCCAGCATGTGCAGGATGCCGTTCTGGGTGTACCTGTGTAGTAGAAGTGGAGTTGTTTTGGGTTGTTTTAGAACCACAGCAACGCAAAAGCGAAAAAGGAAAGTGTTTGTCAGAAAAAAAAGTTAGCTCTCAAACAAAGCACACTGCAATGCAAAAGAAGAAGTGCACACTGCAACACAGCTCTTTTTGTGGAGTTTTTTTTGGGGTTCTTACAAATTTTTGTCTTTATTTAGCAAATCACTGTACATGACTTCGTAGGGCGTGCCAAATTCGTAGATGTTCGGCCTGTCCTGCGACGGTCCGGGCAGTTTTACTTGGTTTCCTGGGTGATGATGAAAGAGTGGAGGTAAGTTAACCTTGACTGAAGTAAGCAAACAAATAAAAGAACTGAACTGACCTGATCCAAAGGAGCGGACATTGAAGCCTTTTTTGCTGTGTAGTGGTGGTCAAGTGGAAAATGGAATTGGAAAAGAAAGATTCAAGGACGTTACAAACACACGTTAGAAAAGTTAGAGATGCTGCGGCTCACCTAAGAAAGTTGTGCGCCTCCATTGACCGGTTCTGGTTGCTGGAGCAGACCACGGCAATCTTCAGATGATCAACCATGTCGAGGGGAGAGAGATCACGAGAACAGGATTTAGGGAATCCTGAAGGGAGGAAAAGTAAATGGTGGCAAGATCACAGGACAGTTTACTGGCAAATTAATTAGGTGATCATTAAGAAGTTTCTTTCCCTTTTGGGTAAGATTCAGATGTCAGAACAAAACAAGCAAAAATGTGCAGCAGCAGATTTGTTCCAATTTTTGGCGCGCTCACAGAGGACGGGACCTGTGCTTGAATTTCGTCATGCAGTGAAACAGCAGAGCTTAGAAGCTCGGCCGCCAAAAAGAATGGCCAAAATCGACTTCAATTTGTCAATCGATAATCACCTCAAGCAATCACTTTCCGAAAGGAAAACAAGGTAAAAACTACTTTTAAAATGTCTATTTCTATTCAGTTCAAAATCTACTTTTCAAAAATTATTAATCTCAATTTAGCATTTCAAATCGAACCCAATCGAACAACTGAAATGGGGAAAACAAAGCGGTGCGCCAAGTTAAAGATGAAGAATTGCCGTCCTGGTTTCGCTTGATCATCTACCACCTCTCTTTCTTTCTCTCAATTTTCCCTCCATTTTCTTTTCCTTCTTCTTCACACTTGAAGTGATGTGAACATCAACAACGACAATAACAGCAGCAACATGTGAGGGAGAAGCAATCAAATCGGCAGCAGCTACCGCTTCTTGGGCGCTAAACTGTGTGAATATGATGGTTGGGGACTTCGATTGACTGACTGACTGGCTGGCTGACTCCTCAGAGCGAAGACCGTGCCCTACAATAACAACAACGGCAGCAGAAGCAGCAACAACAACAGCTTCAGCAAAACATGTTGCCCGAGACTTGACAGACAAGACAGAAGGAAGGAAAAGAAGGTGAGGGAGAAGAAATAGAAGAAATAGAAGTCGATCAGTGGCTGATCGACTAACGGTGCAGTGGCTGCCACTGCTGCTGCTGCTGGCACTGCCTTCCCACTCTTTTGCCAAGTTTCCTCTCCTGAAGTGATGGTCAGCCCCAACGATATACATCGAAGGAGGAGAAGAGGAGAGTTTAGCAGGTGAACTGAAACCGTTGTTGCTGCTGCTGGACACAATCTGTCTACTTTGCTGCTGCTCCACAAAAACAGCGGTGATGTCAGCCAACACAGAAAACCTGAATGAGTGAATGCGAACAGCCTGAGCGGCGAATTCGATCATCGACTGCCTGTCTAGCCTAGCCTGCCTGTCCAGAGCTGCCCGAGCTGCCCGAGCTGAAGCTAAAGCTAAAAATCTAGCGTCGAAACCTGTTTCGGTCTGCTCGATGCTCCTTCAGGCGACTACGGCTGCCGCTGCCGCTGCTGCTGCTGCTGTTGCAATTACTCGCCATTAACGGCGCCGACTGTCTCTGACTGGCCATATTATCGCTGCTGCAGTATTCCGATTCAACACAGCCTCCTCGGGGGATGATGAAGAAGCGGACGGGAGGATGATGATGATGATGAAAAAGACGACGTTGTTGATGTTGATGCTGCTGCTGAAGCTGATGATGATGAAGATGATTGGCCAAGTGGAGTAGTGGCCAATAGAGCACCAACACCGGTCTTTCTCCCTCTCATTTCCTCTTTATCATCGTCCACTTCTGAGCCCACTTCTAAAAGTACTTCTAAAGTGTGTTCTTCTGACTTGCAGTCAGTCAGTCTTGGCGGCGTCCACTTGGCGTCCACTGACCACCGCTGACCACCACCACCAACACAAAGCGGGCGCCACACAGGCTACTCAACTCAGCTCGACTTGCCTGCTCGCTTTCTTCTTCTCCCTCTCTCCACTTTAAGCTGCTCAGCTATCTTTTCTGCATCTCCTGCCGCACAATCTACCTCTTTCTTTCTTCCTTTTGACGTGAACACTGAACAAGTGAACAGGCAGTGCACATGAAAACATGCAAAACAGACTAGAAATGCACGACAACCACAACCACAACACAGTGCAGAAATGATCGCCATTCCTGACGCCAAACAGTTTCCATACACCCACCGCCGTCGTGTGAGTGTACCGAACTCTTTCTTTTCGTCATTAGTGTCGTCAAAAACACCTGATCATCTTTACAAAAACAACATCAGCAACAACAACAAAAAGAATGGCCCAAGAGAAGGAGGCGGCGGAAGAGGGAGCATCCTCTGCTTCGATTCAAAAACAACAGACCACCTCTACTTCCTCCTCATCTCTGGGCGGCAAGAATAAACTCCGCGTCCTCGGTCGAGACCATCTGAAGTTGAGCAGTCTCAGGTAGGTGATCCCTTTTTCTACTTTTGATTTGAACTACTTTTTGCTCTGAACTGCATCACAAAGACTAACACTTTGCACATTGTTATACGAGAGAGAATAAGATGTTACGCACACTTTTCAACTTTCTATTGCAACTTTTCTATTCATCATTTGTTTTATTACCGCCTCATGTGACCAACATTCTATCTCTTTCACCTAATTTTAATTGTCCTCTACCGCTCTTTGCTCTCACCATCATCATTACCGTCGGCTTCTAATTTGTCGGTAATTAGACTTCACGCGTTGAGCTTTTCTTCTTTTTCTTCTCCTTCTTTTCTAACTGCCTAACACTTGCCATCATCATCAACACCTGTTGTCCTTGTGTGTCCTTGTCATCGTTGAGCTGAAGAGTCGAAGTTGTAAAGGGAGGAGGGGGTGACCATCGTCGTCGTCCTTCTTCCTCATCATCGTTTAATCTAATTACCTGCTAATTTACTGCGGCTGCCTTTCACTCACACACACTCCTATGCTATTTTAAATGCGCTGCGCATACCTCAAAAGGAAAGGCAATATAAAGAAGAAGAAGAAGAGGAAGAGCAAAAGATGATTGAAATGTTTAGCACCTTGCAAGAAGAGCAAAAGCAAAAGCAGCCACACAGGCAAGAACAGTGAAAAATGGTACTCTGACTGGTGCTCTTTGCCCGTTTTTGGAAATAGAAAGAAGAAGAGGAAGAAGAGGGGTCTAAAGAGCAGATCGATTGTCTGTGCCTGTGTCTGCCTGCGTCTATTGGGCCACTAATGATCTCCCCACTGCCACGGCCAGAACAGAAGAACAGCAAAAAGTGCCTGACAGTGAGTCAGGCTTTTCTCATTCTCCTTCTTCTTCTCCTTCTTCTTCGATGCCCTATGACCACCGTCGCCTGGGGGCACTTTTAATTTGCGCGCACTGAAGTTAAAGAGAGAGAAGCCCAAAAGCGCCAGGCCAGGCTATCCAGCTTAGTAATTATGGTAGCAAAACTGATGACTGCTGCAAGCAAAGGAAAAGGAAAAGGAGAAGGGGCACATCATCTTCGTCGTCGTTTCGTCCTCATCGTCGTTGACTCACGCGAGGCAACACTTTTACATAGGCAGCCAGCCAGCAGCCTCAGTGACTCTCGTTAGCTAGTTAGCTTAACTGAAAAAATCACAGTCTCAGTCAGTCAGCTTTAGGTGCTCATGCTGCTTGGCAGTAGCCGTCGACTTTTTCTTCTTTTTCTTTTCGATCTTTTTGATCTCTCAGTCGTGCCATGGATTCGGTGGTAGTCGGAGCTCCTGCTCATCACCCTCATCGATTGAATTCAGCGGCAACTATTGACCTGGACAACATTGCCAGCAGTTTGCAGCGACGACGGCAGCAGCAGCAACAACCACCGATACACTATGCAACACTACCACATCCACAGCAACATCAACCTCGATATTCGAACACTCTGGCGCAGTGTCCAGGTGCTCCTGAAACAAAGCCTCTTTCGATGAAATCTGACAAAAATGGACCAAAGTGGCCCAAAAGTGGATCATCATCCGGAGCAAGTTTGAGCTTGACTTTTGCCAACCGTCAACGCCATTCACATCATCAACAGAACCAGCACAACTGGTGGAAGGTCTGCTGGCTCTACGGCGGCAGCAATGGCGGCAATGGCCGCCACCTGTTGGAACAGCGTCAACAGGGCAACATTAGTCACTTTAACTACCATCGCTCCTCAAAGCCTACTCAAGTGCCAACTTCAGCCTCTGTCGCCTCGCTTCACAGGTCACCGTCGGATGTGCCTAAGCTGCAGACTTCCTCCTCCTCTTCTATTTCTTCCTTCAGCGCTGCCGTGGCCGCCACGCTGCCGTCTCACTTTCGACTACAAAGGCGACGGCCACAGCGACGTGACGGTGCCAAGTAAGCGAGACACTGACGACGACGACGATGATGACAAAGTTCAGCAGCAGCAGAAGCAGTGCCAGCAGTTCTCTGGTCACCGTCTGCTGATGTTGAAGCAGCAGCAGCAATTAAACGGCAGAAGCAGAGTAGATTTACGGCCATTTCGCGCTTCTGTCTTCGTCATGCAGTGACGAGCATCGCAGCTAGCTGCATTAGTAGAATGGCTTTTTTGCTATCTCTCTTTTCCCTCTTTGGTCCATTGATTACCATCACTACGACTGTAGCAGATGATTTTTCAGCTGTGACAGCTTTTTTCGCTTGTTGTTCGTCCGTCCCCGAGATCTTCTCTGTTTCTTCTTTACAGTAGCAGCAGCAGATAAAACATCCGCAGTTTAGTTGGAGTGCTCTGAGTGTCAACTTTTTCCTGCTCTTATTCTGCTCTGTTTTTGACCTGACTAACCATTTTCTTCTTCTTCTTCTTTCCGCCACTTCACTACAGAAACTACCTGCACAGCTCCAAAGGTGATCTAAAGTCAGCGGCAGCATCAAGTGGCGACCAACAACAACAACAGCCCTCAATTACAAAGGGACCCGAGAAATGCAAGTCCATGATGACGCTAAACATCAGTGGCAGCAATGGCAGCAGCGGAAGCAATCAACACCAACAAAACTCCTCAACCTCCTCCTCCTCACTGTTCTCCTTTCCCAGCCAACTTCGCCTGGTGGAGAAGATCAACCACCACCGGCGGGAGTGGATGGCGGCCCGGTTTTGCGCCAGCAGCAGCAACAACGGTCCTCAGAACATCCTCTCGCCGAGTAGTCTGCTGCAGCAGGCGACACGCCAGCCGCTGGCCATCTGGAGTAGATCATCAGCAGTGGCGGCGACCAAGATGGTCGGAGATGGTGGCACTGCTGGCACTGCTGGCACTGGTCAGCAACAGATGAACATCATCAGCACTGGCAAGGCGGACGCCGTCGAGCTGCTGCTGCAGCTTAAAGGTGAGCTTTAACTTCTTCTACTTCTCGTCATTGTTTCTAAATTGTTCTGGTGTTGTGCAGTGGTGGTCAATTAGCATCACTCGGAATACATACATGTATGATATGAATCCGGCTGCTGTGTGATGTTGACCACACACGGCGGTGAAAGCTCGGCGTTTAAAGCTGCGACTGGCGCGAGCGAGTGAGCTGTGCTTTTTTGGCTTTGCCTGACTCTCAGCCTTTGCCCTCTGCTCTCTTCTGTTTCAGCCACTGCTCACTCTGCTCACACCCCTAAACACACTGCTTAGGCTTGGGGAAAGCAGAACTCTGAACACACAGAAGCGAGTGCCTGTGGAGGGCTCAGTTTCTTCTGTCTTTTCTGTTTTCTGTTGCATTCCCTCTCTTGCCCTCTCTACTTTATCCACCCACCGAAGCCACAGCACAGTGAGGAGAGTGGCCAATGAAGCTGAAGTGAGTTGGCCACTCTGCTAATGTTTGCAGTTGTTTCTCTCTGTTGCTGCTGTGCCTCAATTAGCCTTGGCGAGGGAGGCAGCCAGTGTGTGTATTGTTGCTCCATAGCATCTCAGATTACTCTTCAGACTACAATCAGACAATCTGACTGAGCATTTAGTGAAAAGATTATTCCTCATCTTCTGCTGCTGCTTTCAATTATCCACTTCTTCTTCTTCTGTATTCACCTGCCTGCCTGCCTTTAATTGACCAACTTAATTCATTGACCATCATTACGTCTTCTTCATTCTAGGAGCCAACTGGCGACATCGGCAGCTGCAGCACCAGATGCCCATCCACGATGCGGAGCTGTTGCGCCAGCCGACGGCGGAGAGTCGCTTCATCAGAGGGAAACAGCGACGGGCGCTGGTCCGCTCGGAGCTATTCCTGGCGACGCAGTCAACAAAGCCGGTGACCTGCCATCGGGTAAGTTAACTTGTTGAGTGACATCGTAATTGAGCTCGTTCGCTTTACTTTTCAGTTTTCAATTCAACTCTTTACTAATAATACTCTTGTTGTCATTTTTTCTTCTTCTTCTTTTCCAGTGCAAGCAGCTCATCAGCGGTGGAGCCTGTGTCAAGATTGGCCTTCACGACTGGCTCGGAGGGCAAAAGAATGGCAACAACAGCAGCAATAGTAACAGTATTTCATCCTCCACCACCACCACCGCCCATCACTTCTTCCACATTGACTGCTTCAAGTGCGAGGAGTGCCAGGAGGTGCTGGTCGACCTGAAGGCCTACCTCCACCCAACGACGACGACACCTTCCACTGCCACCACCTTTGATCATCATCACCCTCATCCTCATCTTCACCACCAGCAACAACTAGTCAACAACAATGGCATCAGCAATAACAGTCCCAGTGACCTTCTTCAGTACAGCCTCTTCTGCTGTCGGCACTTTGTGGAGATCTTCAAGCCGCGCTGCCCCCACTGCGACCGCCTCATCCTCGACGAGGAGTGCACCGAGGCGGAGGGCAAGGCCTGGCACATTGGCCACTTCTGCTGTACGGAGTGCAGCCGGTCGCTGGGCGGGCAGCAGTACATCATGGCCAGCTCGGATGTGGTCAACCGGAAGTCTTCAGCAGCGGAAAATGGACTTTCATCAAACTCAAACTCCAACAATCGTCAGCAGCAACAGCTCCCCTACTGCCTCACCTGCTTCGACATCCTCTTCGGCGAGCTCTGCGAGGAGTGCGGCGAGCTGATCGGCTGCGAGGTGGGCGCCATCATCCACGAGGGCCGCTCCTGGCACGCCACCGACGCCTGCTTCCGCTGCTCACTTTGCCTGAAGACGCTGCTGGGAAAGCCCTTCCTGCCGGCGATGGACGGCCGCATCTACTGCTCGCTGACCTGCAGCCAGGCGATGGTCAGCCACCAGCGGGAGAAGGCACGGCGGAGCAACCGGTTGCACGGGCTGCAGCAGCATGAGACGAATCAGAAGAGGAATCGGAATGCCGCGGGAGTTTCTCCTGCAAAGAATGGAAATTCTGTTCTGGAAGCGGAGACGGTGATGCAGCGGCAGCAGCAGCAAAGTCCGGTGACTGGAGTGAATGGAAACGCCGGTGATCAGGAGAAAAGTACCGCGATTTCTGTTACAAATGAAACAAAATCTACCACAACCACAACCACCAGCAATACCATCAAGGAAAACCGGGACCAGTTTCTCAAGTCGATGACCCTCAGCCGTTACGAGCAGAAGGTGAAGGCGCAGAACCAGGTTCAGAATAATCGAACAGTGGTGAACGGAAGTCCAAATCTAAATCAAAACTCCAACAGCAAACAGGATTGTCCTGTGGAAGACCTCGCAGCCGCTCGGTTGAAGGCCCTCAACCTCAGTCAACTGGTAAATTACGAGCAGTTCATTCGCCAGAGCAACCAGTACTTTACCTCCAAGTACGACTGGTCGAAGGAGCAGGAGTTTGCCTCGGCAACGACTGTGACTATTACTCAGGAAGCAAATGGATCCGTGGATCAACACGAGCAGGCGATGAGCTCCTCGCTGACGACGGCCACGCTGAGCGACGCCGAGGAGAGCTCCTCAGCAGGCGGCATCATCAAACGGCCATCAAACATTACCTCCAGTGAGTGCTCCGACTCGCTGGAGAGGAGTTCGCCGGCTTACTTTACCGGAGGTGGTGATTACCAACTGCACCAGCACCAACAACACCAACAGCATCGAAATCAGCAGCTGCAGCAGCACCTGTTGAATGGGAACAGTTTACAAATGTATCCCCATCACAACCTTTACTCGACGATTAATCACAATAACACCACCAACAACAACATCTCTTCTAGTCAAACCACCGCCACCACCACCTCCATTGATAATTCTCCTCGTTTCACACTACCACCACTGAACACTCGCACAACAGGTGATCTTCAAGTGAAGCAAACCTCCTCTTCCTCTCCTTCACCTCATCACCGTCCTCACCACCATCAAATGCCTACTTACTACAATCTGAGAAATGGTGAGCTCATCCACCAAAAGAGCTCAAACTCCGGTTCGCTGCTCAACTCGCCGGCCAACTCAAACTCAAACTCCTCTTCAAACGAGACGCCGCCCTCTTGGACGGTCGCCTCGTCAGGTAAACAGCTTCCAATGTCACCGCCGCCCGAGTACTCCAAAGTGCTCGGTACGGTGGAGGATTTTAAAGATGAAGGAGAAAGTTCTGCGTCGGTCTCTTCGAGCATCACCGGTGGTGGTCATCATCATCATCACCAGCAACAAAAGCAGCCTTCACCAGCCAAAATGACAAATGGCATTTTAAAGTCCACCAGCACTGCCAACAGCAACTCCAAAATCAGTCCACCGCTAATGGAAGAAACATTGTTGGTGCAAAAACTGCTGCTCTCCAAAGCGGCCATAGAATCAAAGCCATCGAGCAGCCTGGAAGCCTCGCCCTCGCCGCCGGCGACCAACTCCAACAACAACTCGGTCAACAATAGCGACGACTCGGACGCCACCAACAACAGCAGCTCACTGCAGCTGAACCTCGGCCACCGGCAGCCCAGCTCGGTGGACACGAACAACAGTCCGAGGCCGGGCCAGTTGTTCCCCAGCTTTGCTCTTCAGCAGCAGCAGCAGCAGCAGCAGCAGTTGTTTCTCAATCATCACCACCAACACCTTCACCCTCAGCAAACTTCGACGCCGCTCAGTCAACAACAGCAGCAGCAGCAGATGATGATGCAGATGATGTTGATGCAGCAGCAGCAGCAGCAAATGCTCCAGCAAAGACCGATTGCTTCGGGCTCGACTCAGGTCAATGAAAAGCAGCAGCAGCAGCCCGCCTCGACCACCAAGTCCGTCTCCTTTGACCCGAACATCGAGGACAAGGACGAAAGTCAGCGACGGTACATTCGCCGGCTGCGCAGCTCTGCGAGAGCTGCGCAGCCTCGAGGCAGCGGCGGAGGACATCACCACCACCAGCGGTCATCAGCAGCTGAAGAACTGCTGCACCACGAGGACTGCAGTGATTCGCACTCCTGCTCCAGCTGCTCCACCTGTTCGAGCTCCTCCAGCGACGACGATGATGACGATGATGATCTGGGCGACTTTGACCTGGTCAACTACCGAGCTCAGCAGAAAGCTAACGGTACCGAGCAGAACAACAGCACCACCACCAACAGCAATGACGCCTGCATAATATCATGATCTTTACTCTGTACAATACCGCCTACGGGATTTACATTCTTTTTTTCTGTTTGATGCACTAGCAATAGTAGTAGAGGTTACTAATAAATAGAAAAATTTTCTAAATGATCTAAACTCTTGAGCAGTTGTTGGCTTACTACTGATCAATCATCGGCAGCGGCGCTGGGACTTTGTATCCGACTTTGGGCGAGAGGCTTTACCTCCTCCTCAAAGTAGCGGAACTTTCGCTCGATCCAGATTGGCTTGCCGACGCGGAAGCCAATGTACACCGAGAGGAGGAGCATGCCGACGCCCAGCGGGAGGATCACCTTGGTGTTGGCCATTTTGTTTCGATTTTGTTTTGATTTTGCTGATGCGAGAGGTTCTCAGAGATTCTATTTCGGGTTTTGTTAAAGTTGTTGTTGTTGTTGAAGTTATTTCACCTGCTCGCCGACTGTCTGCTCCTGCTGTTGTTGCTGTTGTTGATCACCTTGTTGATCTCCTCCGGTTTGCTGCTGAATCTGCCTGATCGCCTCCTGCCGGCGCTTCTGCACCAGTGGATTCCAGATGTAGTAGCCGCTGCCGATGCCCAGTGCCGCCACGAAGAGAATCGACTTGAGGTCGACGGCAACCGACATGTGAATTTGAGGGAGAAGGGGGTGAACAACGGTTTGACGATGATGGCGATGATGATGATGATGTCCCGATGAAACTTCTACTTTGATCAGATCACAAAAAGTACCAAAAAACCGCTGTTGCTGTTTTGGTTGGCCAATGTTTTCCTCGCCACCTCTGGAAATGTGCGCTGAAGACGGTAGCGGCGCCACCTTTCGGGCGCATAGATCACTAAACAAGAAGGGGCATCCGTGATTCCTTTCTCCTTCACAAACCACATCCAAAGAGCCACACAATTTTGAATCATTTTTATTTGCTAATGAGAGTAGTGTAATAAGAATAATAATAATCAGAGCCAGAAGAGAGGAGGAGCTCCGTCTGCTCGTCCATTTACATTCCACTTTGCATCATCTGATGCCGTTCATCATCATCAAGTGACTCTTAAAACAATGCTACGGTAAAACAAAACGGCTACTCCACCTTCTTGGTCCACTGTCGGTTGATGTAGGGCACGTAGATGAGCACGGCCTTCCAGTCGGTGAAGTAGGTGAGGGTGAGGAAGCCGGCGGCGCCGTAGGTGAGACCAGATCGGGCCCTGAGGAGAAAATGGTGATCAGCAGTGATTCTAAAAAGACGCACACACACCGAGACACTTACCATTTACGAGCGTGCATCGCAAAGTAGGGCATCGTTCGGCCGGGCCAAACTCCGGGCTTCTGCTGTGCCATAGCTGTGGTGGTTTGAGTTTTCGAGGGAAGATCCGCAGAGAATCTCAAGAAAGTCGAGGCTTCAATCAGTCAGTTTGCAACAACAACAAGGCTCGAAGAAGTTGACCTCTGTTTTCTCTGGCGTCAGCTGCTGCTGCTGCTGCTGCTTTCGTACAGTGTGAGTGGCGCCACCGGTCTGGTGTGGGCGCTGGCAACCTCTCTTTGGGGCAGTTCACCGGTGCTGTGACTGTACTGCAGTGAGTTGGAGCAAAGCAAATTACCTGGCGCCCCCAAACCAGCTGCCCCTGAATGTCAACGCGAAGACTGGTATTTGTTGTTGATTTCTGAACTGAACTGTGTGTGTGTGTTTGCTGGAAGTTCTAAAACTCCAGCAAGCCGTGTTCAATCAAGTGAAGCTTCATTCATTCTTCTAGATTTCCTCTTTTTGCTTTGAAGTAAAGCCAGATCCGCAGCAAAAGCATTCTCCTCTGAAGGCAGAACTATTATGGCCCTCAATCTGCTCAAAGCTTCGGCCAGTCGGCTGAATGCAGAAAGGTGAGTGTTTGTTGAAGTGATGTTTCTATCTTGTTCTGACCAGCTTTTCCGCTTCCCACCAGGACTCTCTTCATCCTCTCGCAACGCCTCCTCGCCTCGAAAGGCAACTCCCCCAAGGGCGAGCTGCTGGTGCGCGAGGACACCGACCTGGCGATCGCCGACGCGGACACCGCCGAGCGGCGCAGTCACCTGCAGAAGCTGCGCACCACGGCGATCACCGTCGACCAGCCGAACCTCCTCTCGGTGGTCTCCGGCGTGCCCGAGGAGCACATCGTCAACCGGCGCGTCCGCATCTACAAGCAGGCGAAGAACGCCATGCAGTCGGGCACCTATGACACGCAGAAGTGGAAGCTCGACTACGAGAACCGGGAGCGGTGGGAGAACCCGCTCATGGGCTGGACCTCAACGTATGTTTAGAGTTTTAGAAGATTAGTTGGTTTTCGAACCTAATGCTCATCTTTTCTTTTTCTCTCTCTCTCGGTTTCAGCGGTGACCCCCTCTCCAACCTGAACCTGTACTTCAGCAGCAAGGAGGACGCCATCGAGTACTGCGAACGCCACGGCCTCACCTACCAGGTGGACGAGCCGCAGGAGCGCAAGAAGCTGCACAAGCTCTACGCGGACAACTTCTCCTGGAGCAAGCGAACGCGCGTCGGCTCCAAGTAGAGACGGTTTCTTTCTTACTCTTTGTACTACTGTATTGCAATTGGTTCTCTGTAATAAAGATATAGAGTGTTCGGGCGTGTCGCCCGAGTTAAGCGTCAACAGTTTTTGTGATTTCATTCGTTATCCTTCACTTTCACCTTCAGTTGCCATCACCCCATCCTTTCTGATCGTTTGCGCTTGTATTGTGGTGATGTGTTCGCTTCTTTCCCTAATCTCCAGATAAGATTGTGCAGACTCTGAATCACGTCTTTTTTTGGTGATGGTGATGATAATTGGTATCAATGAGAGTAGTGCGCAGTTTCTGTTCAGAAGCAAGTGAGCTAGGCAGTTAGGCAGTTTTGTTCTGACTTTCACTTGGAAAAAATCCTCTAATTTGAGGTGAAGCAGTCAATTACTATTACAAATTTTACACAATTTTGCAAATGAAGTGTTTTTAAAATTTACTTATATTTTAAGTAATCTTCAATATTGCGCTACTTTTAAATTTAAAATGCCAATCAACGTTTCACATGATGTTTTTTGGTATGTGAGAGATTTTCAAAATGTAAGTTGATTTAAAACTCTATTTTTCAAAACATTTTCAATTTATATTGTACCTTTAGATTTGGCATGACAAATATGAACGCTCTTCCATCTTGTCTTTTGATTATGAAACATTCTCAAATATTCTTTCTTCTGTGAATCTGAACGTAAAAAGCGAATATTTTGTTTGGAAAGCAATATATGATTGGATCAATTTTGATAAAAACAGTCGACTTCAACACCTGCCAGATTTGATAAAAAACTGCCTTCGGTTTGGTCGCTTAGATAAGCATTTTATTGATAATTTCATTTTTGAGTGTGACCTTTTTACAACGTTACCTGATGCTATCCAATGTGGTTTAAAAGATTTTATAAACAATGGCCTTAAAACCTGCCAGCAATCAACTGCTCTTAGTTTTAATTTGAACAACTTACTTAACGTTCGTCACTTCTTTCCAAGATTTATTGAGCCGATTCTTGTTTGCATCAGCATTTATAATGGCCATTTTAGCTTCTATGACGACAATTATAAATGTTGGCACTCATTACCTGTGTCATTAAAATTTCAAAGACAAACACATTATCAACTCGCACTGCTAGGTCGTAAGTTGTACGCATTTGGTGGAGAAGATAATACCCATAAATCACTTAATTTGATGTGGAGTCGTGACCTGAGTGATCCCTCGTCTCAGTGGAGAGCCAGGGCAGACATGAAACAAAGCAGAAAGGAGTTTTACAGTGTCGTCCTCAATGACACCATCTACGCTCTAGGTGGAAGGGACAATAACAATGACCGTCTCCGTAGTTGTGAACGCTACGACAGTCAACTGAATGAGTGGTCAACAGTGGCAGACATGAACAGTTACCGTGAGAATGCCTCTGCTGCAGTCATCAATGGATGCATCTATGTTGCTGGAGGAGAGGGTGCGAGGTCAGTTGAGAAGTACTGCCCTGAGACTGACACCTGGAGAGAGGTGGCACCGATGACCACTGCTCGCTGGAACTTAACCCTGACCCCCTTTGCCGGTCGTCTCTGGGCCATAGGGGGTAGGGATGGCGGTCATCTATTGAGCAGTTGTGAATCCTACGACCCAGTGACTGACACCTGGCAAAAGGAAGCACCGATGAAGGAGGGCAGATGGAGACATACAGCAATTGAATTCAATGGGAAACTGTATGTCGTCGGTGGAGGAAGTTATGATAATGAGACAAAGAAAATGGGTAGGTTTCTTACTTTAAAAACCTACTATTGATAATCATTTTTTAATTTTGTGTTAGAGACAACTAAAATCGTCGAGAAATACGTGCCCAATATTAAAAAATGGGTAGAAGACAGTACTCTGCAATATAGCATTGAAAACCCTCAACTTCTGCTCATACCACCCATCTGCTCGTCTTTCTTCACAACCGACCCAAACCAGTAGTCAGTGCCAATAAAATGTCATTGTCTACATTGCTGGGAACAAAGTGTGAAGTGAAGATATGGGCGGTCAGTTGCAAAGACGACCCTCAGAAACAAAAAGATGTGATGTCAATTGGAACCTGTTTAGTTTTATTACTACGCAAACTGCCGACTTGTAAAATTATCCAATTTAATTGTCAAAAATTGAAAATAAAGTACTAAATGAATGATTTTAGTAAACTGTCAAGTCATCCGAAAAGTATAAGATGGCCTAGTGATCAATTAATAACGAGCTTTGTGATGGATTTACAAGTGAACCAGAATTTGAGACAATGAACCAAAAATCCGCCAAAAGGTTTCAGTGGCGTCGCTTGCCCTTGAAGTCATCATCGCTGGAGTCGCTGTCACTGCTGCTGTACACTGCCGACTGCGACTGTCCACCACCACCGCTCTTGTACTGGTTCTTAATCTTGGCGATGGAGTTGCTCTCATCGTCCTCGTCATTGTCCTCCAGGAAGCTCGAGTTGATGCCCGTCCGACCGGTGTAGACGCGGTCCTTCAGCCGCTGGGTCTGGTACTTTTTGTAAATGGAGCCATTGAGTGCAGCGAACGCCACGGCCTCACCTATTGGGTAGACAAGCCGCAGAAGCGCAAAAAACTGCACAAGCTCTACGCAGACAACTTCTCCTGAAGCAAGAGAAACGCGCGTTGGCTTCAAGTAGAGACTGCTTCTTTCTTACTCTTTGTACTTGGTATTGCAATTTGTTTTGTTAATAAAGATAGTGTATCCAGGCGTGTCACCAGAACATAGTTTCAACAGCAACAGCAGATTGCTTTGTGATTTTTTTCCATTTTTCATTTTTGTTATCACCCCTTTTCAGATCGTAAGGTGGTAATTGGTTTTCAAAAAGCAGTTGTGGCTGAAACACTCTGCTATCTTTTTTCTCTTGACGATGGTAATTATCAATAAACACTGCCAGGGTAACCAAGTTGTAAATCAACCAAACCACTTTTATTCGATAGAGCTTGATTAAGTATTTAAGTAACAAATGTGCAAAGCTATTCATAGGGCATCAGGTTTTCATTAAATATATTTTTTTAATTGTGGAGAAGAAGTCAGTTACTTGTGACTACTAATATTCAGATTTTTTACTGAAGTAAAAAAAATGGCTACCAACATCTCAAATGATATCCTTTGGTATGTGAGAGACTTTCAAAATGTAAGTCGATTGCAAATCGTATGAGTTTTATAAAATTTTTAAGTATATTGTACCTTTAGATTTGGCTGGACAATGATTATGGACAATCTTCCGTTTTGTCTCTTAATTATGAAAAACTTTCCAGCATTCTTTCTTCTATGAATCTGAACGTCAAAAACGAATACTATGTCTGGAAGGCAATACATGATTGGGTCAACTTTGATAAAAATGATCGGCTTAAATACCTGCCAGATCTGATTGAAAACTGCCTCCGGTTTGGTCGTTTAGATAAACACTTTATTGATGCTTTCATTTTTGAGTGTGATCTTTTTATGGCACTATCTTATGCTACCCAATGTGGTTTAAAAGATTTTATAAACACTGTCTTTCAGAACTGCAAGCAAACAACGGCTGATAGTTTTAACTTGTTAAGCCCATCATACGCCATTTATTCCTACCCAAGAAATCAACTTCTTCTATGCATCGACAGGATAACTGGCACAATTGAGTTCTACGACCACCAGGACAACAACTGGCACTCATCGTCATTGTCATTAAAACCGCATGCTAATCAGTATGCCTTTGAACTAGCACTGCTTGACAGTATGTTGTACGCATTTGGGGGTCAGGAAGGTGACATGAACACCACCAATCAGATGTGGAGTCGTGACCTGAGTGATCCCTCGTCTCAGTGGACAGCCAGTGCATACATGAAACAAAGCAGATATGGGTTTGCCAGTGTCGTCCTCAATGACGCTATTTACGTTCTAGGTGGCATAGACAAAAACCTTCACCCTCTCCGTAGCGGTGAACGCTACTCCAGTCAACTGAACCAGTGGTCACCAGTGGCAGACATGAACGGTGACCGCTATGGTGCCTCTGCCGCCGTCATCAAGGACTTCATCTACATTGCCGGCGGATGGAATGAAACAAAGGAAAATCTGCAGTCAGTTTCGAAGTACTGCCCTAAAACGGACACCTGGAGTGAGGTGGCACCGATGACCACTGCTCGCTGGCAATTCGCCCTGACCTCCTTTGGCGGTCGTCTCTGGGCCATAGGGGGTGTGGGTGATGACAATCAGCTACTGTGCAGCTGTGAGTCCTACGACCCCGTGACTGACACCTGGCGAGAGGAGGCTCCGCTTCAAAGGGTGAGACGTGATCATGCGGCAATTGAGCTCAATGGAGAACTGTATGTCGTTGGTGGATGGAGAAATGATGTTGAGGCAGTGACAACGGGTTAGTCTCTTACTTTAAAAACTAACATTTAATAACCATGTTTTTTTACTTTGTGCTAGAACCAACTAAAATTGTCGAAAAATATGTGCCTACTGTTGGATGGATGGAGTACAGTAATACTCAAAAAAGTTATATTAAACTAGGACTACTCATCATACCACACACCTACTCGTCCTTCTTCACAACCGACACAAACCAGTAGTCAGTGCCAATAAAATGTCAATGTCTACATTGGTGGGGACAAGGTTTGAGCAAAAATATAAATGGTTTGTTTGAAAAGTACGATATGTAGAAATGAAAAGAGGTGGTGTCAAGTGAAACAAATAAAACTGTTTGGTTTTGTTACCACACAAACTGCCGGCCAGTAAAATTTTATTGGCGCTGCTTGCCCTTAGAGTCGTCATCACTGGACATTTTTTCTGTACACTTCCAAGTTCATTCTTGTACTAGTTTTAAAATTTTGAAAAATGTTTGACATTTCAACGTTTGTGTGTGTGTTTTGTACCTGATATTGTAATTTGTTTTTGTAATAAAAATAATCTATCTGGGCGTGTCACAAAAGTATGATTTTAGCAGGAGACTTGGTAATTTTCTATTATCTTTCTCTTTTCCTTTCAATTACCACTATCCTATTGATC